GACACAATTGTGTCGTTTTGGTTTGGAACTACGTTCAAGGTGAGCGGTTTTTTCAGTCATGGCGGTGGCGCTTCTGGTATCAAGTGTGCTTTGCATCGCTGAACATACTTTTTGGTGAACATACTGAAGAGAAACAGCCAGTTTTTGATGATACCCTCAGAATGCATTATTTTGGACGTTTTCGCAATGATTCTCAAACTGTCTTGCTGAAAATGTCTAAGAAGCTTCAAAACAATCTCTGTAGCGCTGGAATTTTGTGATAAAAAGTAGCAAGGTTACAGAAAACCCAGGTGCTGAAACCTTAGGACTTCCCTGGTTCAATACCGTCGAGGTGAAGGTGGGGAACTGAGAGCAGCGAGTGATTTGTGGGAGCGCCTCCATTCCTCCCTCATGGGCTTGCCCCACATAACCGGCTGTGAAGCTAAAAAATTGTAGGGCTGGGGAAATGAGGTGGAGCTCTTGTAAGTAGAGGACTTTTCTGGAATTGTACGGTTTTATAAGCGCTAATGACTTCGAAGGGGGGGGGGTACCTGTCAGCCTCTGAGTCTGGCAGTCTTATTTGTCATTGTTTTTTTTTTCTTTTTTCTTTTCACCATCGTGTCTCAGCAGGTCCTGTTATTGCTGTCAAGTTTGGCAAGATGATACCAGCGTCGCTGGAATAGCATTATTGACAAATTTAAGGGAGTTTACAGGGCGCTTGACAGGTGATGACAAGGTATCCAGGGTAGTGACAAGGTTGTTCGGTGTTCCCTTGTAAACAGTTTGCAGGATTTAGTAGCTAACATGTGCTTCCCCTCCCCCCTCCCCCTGAGGTTATAAGCGATGTTATCCACATTTTCCTTTCTAAAATACCAAATGAAATATTCAGCGCGATTAGGTTGAATTGACGTTCGTTTTGATTCGTAAAACGTGCAGCTCGTTTCAGAATAGGGAGTGTTTGGCCCAATGAAACTATTTTTTTTCAGGCAATGTATCTTCCGTGGATTTTGTGTGCTTTCAACGCTGTTCTTCGCGGTGGTGGAATGAACGAGCTTCTGGGAATCCTTGTCGGCCACACCTACTACTTTCTTGCGTTCGACTATCCGTTACAACATGGAGGAGCTTCCTTCTTGCAAACACCACAATTTCTCTATAACTTCCTCCCCAATGAAGAGGGTGGTGTTCATGGATTTGGAGCAGAACGAGTAAATCAACGTCGTGCTGGTGGTGCTCAAGGTGGTGGCAGGTATTTCTGGGGTCGAGGGCAACAGCTGGGTGGAGAATGAAAAGGGTGC